CCACCCCACCCAGCCGTCCCGCCCTGAGTGGGAGGAGGAGGAGGCAGGGAGCGGGCGAGAGCGAGCCCGAGGGAGCCACCGCCTGGGGAGCACGGTTTGCAGGAAGGGCTGTGGTGGCTGCGTGGCAAGAGGAGGTGCCCTGGGCAGGAGGCCCGTGCGGCCCCTCCAGGTAGAGGACGCCTTCCTATCACTCTGGGGAAGCTGCGGAAACTGGGAGAGGATGAGGAGATCCGAGCTGTGGAGGGGACGGGGAGGTGGGAGTAGGACGTGGCCCCACTGTCCGTGGGATCTGGCGGAGGGATTATTACAGAGGGCCAGCTAGACCCTGGGGGAGAAACTAAGACCTCAGGATCCTTTCATCCTGCCCAGGCTTCCGGGAAAGACTGTTTTTAACCAGTCCAGGCCAAGGGCTGTCGATCTTGCATCCCCACCGGGACTCAGTCATGGCCCAAGTCAGCTTGTTCCGGGTCTCCTGTCTGCCTGCAGAAGCCCCTTCCCTCACAGCCGAAGCTGCTGTCTCATCTTCCCGAGACTTCTCTGCCCCCCGGGTGCCCCCACATGCTGCTCAACCTTCCCACTGCCTGGGCCACCTACTTGTTGTACAGGACCACATCTGGAAGCCAGATGTGCTTGGAAGGAAGTCGAACTTTCTTCATGTTGTCAAACTCCTCGGGCTTCCAGGTGAGCCGATAATCCTCCCACTCCTGGGAAGGGAAGAGAGGGAGGCAGCAGGACCTCATGCTTGCCCGGCAGGCATGGCACCGAGCTACAGCCCTGGCTCTGGAAAAGGCTCTTAAAAACCAGCCTCCTCCCCTGCAGTGAAGTATGGCTCAGAGGTTTCTTTCTCATTTAACTTGTACAACTGAGCCGGGGTATTCCGATCTACATTTTACAGGTGAGAAAATGCACCTGGGACATCTATTACGTTTAAAGTAACAGCAGGCACAGGATTGTAGCTGAGAGGTGCAGTGCCTGCTGGGCAAGCATGAGGTCCTGAATTTGAGTCCCAGTACCAAAAAATAAATAAGTGAATAAGTGAATAAAAATAACAGCTAATGAGTAAGATTTTTTTTTTTAACCAGGGACTGAACTCGGGTCCTTGCACTTGCAAGGCAGGTGGCGGAACCACTGAGCTAAGTCCCTGGCTAATGAGTAAGATTTAAGCCCAGTTATTTAAGACTCTAAAGTCTATGCCTTTTCTGCCTCTTTTGCAGAAATGGACAGGGAGGAAAGCACATGAACAAAAAAAAATAAATACAAGGGGAAGGAAAGAGAAGCCCAGGGGTGCGGTGGGAAGGGCACTGACCTGGGTCAGCCAGACGTTGGTGGTCATGATCTGCTCTCGCTCGTGCTGCGGGGAGAGAAGCTTGAGTGCTGGCCTCCCCACTGCTGCCACCCACTCACCCCCACGGGCGCCCAGAGGAGTAAATGCAGCCGGCTGCCTTGTGCCCCTGCTGAGCCCGGACCCCACTCACCACGCTGATGAGCTGGGCCAGCGACACCATGAGCTGCACCGTTACCAGCTCCGAGCCATTGGTGGCGGGGCGGATGAGCTTGTTGTAGCGGGCGGGATCCAGGAGGTGCTCCACCAGCCGCTCCTCTGTGTCGGTGCCCCACACCCCTGGGCCAGGCCGGGAGGGAGTGAGCAGCGGCCCCAGGCCGGGCCCCTGAGACCCTTGCTCCGGTTGCCCGTGGAGAAGCCGCCTGTGACGCTGCCGAGAAGCTGGGACAGGCCCGCTCCAGGGCGGTGGAGAAGCACTCTTCTCCCAGAGCCCTATTTCATGGTTTCCCCATCAAATGCCCACTGTCCACCCGTGGGCCACACCAGGAGGAGTGGCTGTTTCGTCCTGAGCTCCATGCGCATGGCGTGCAGGCGTGGGGAGCTCCTTTTCGGCCCTTCGGACCCCGTCTCGCCCTCACCCTGGCGCTTTTCCCGCTCCTGGTCCCGTCTCGCTGACAAAGAGGCCCGAAGTGGGCTCCCCGTCCG